GCAGCTCTTAGGGGCCCGTTCCCGGCTTGAGCGGCGTCGCCGTCGGCGTCGGCGTCGGCGTAACCAAGGTCACCCCAAGGTCACGTGACCTCCCAAGGTCATCCCAAAGTCACGTGACCCCAATGTCACCCTAAGGTCACGTGACCCCCAAGGTCATCCCAAGGTCACGTGACACCCAAAGTCAAGTGACCCCCTCCCTGAGGTCACGTGACCCCCCGAGGTCACGTGACCCCCGGGTTACGTGACCTACGATGACGTCATCAGTGACGTCACTGATGACGTCACCGGCATCCGCATCATCATCGTCACGGATGACGTCATCGGTATCCGCATCGTCATAGTTACTGATGACGTCATCGGCATCGTCACGTGACCCCCCCTCCCAAGGTCACTTGACCCCCCCAGTACCCTTCCCTCCTCCTCCTCAAGAGCTGCGCTCTAATTCGGCGTAACAGGAAGTTGTAAACGGCTCTCACTTTTTCTTTTTTTTTCAAAGAAGATAAATCATTCAGTGGTGTGTAACCTTTGGCTTCTTTATATCTAAAGCCAAGTTATTTCGTCAAATATTATAGTTGACTTGGAGCACCGCCATTGTGGTTCCGATGCGAAGAGGCGGCCCATAGATCCCATTGATCAGAAACCGTTGGCGCGTTCGAATCCCGGTCGACGTGCCCGCGACTGATGGAGGCTTTTTGCGGAGAACGCGCTGTTTTTAGAAATCTTTCGGTTGCAGGTAAAAAATAAACAACAGGTTGTCAAAATGAAAGCCTCAGTCCTCCGTTGGAGTGCGCCCTGTGCGCTTCGTTGAAACCGGCAGATTTTTTTCATGCTCTACTAGAGTGTTGATGTTCCTGTTTTTTTTCCCTATCATTCTATTGAATAGTTTAGTCCATTCCTTTATTTTTTTTATATTTTAGCAGTAGAAAAAATAGAAGGTTTCTTTCTAGTTTCTCTCCTTTTTATTTTAAGCTAGAGTAAGAAATGAGTCACGAAATGAGTCGCGTACGTCTTATGAGGGTTTATGTGGCTTATAATGCTGTCCGTGTTGTCATTTGTAACAAGTGCGTAAAACGGTAAAACGTTTCGTTTTGTTATTGGTGAGCCGGTAAGGTTATCGGGTCATGCGCGCTATATTTTATGTTCCTTGAATGCTTAGAGATAATAAAACAAAATATAAAAAATGAGCACCCCTACGGATCGTAGGTAATCCCGTACTTGCACCATGAATTTCTGAAATAGTAATAAAGTGATAAGTCAAAATGTCCGTATGTTTTGTCATTCCAGTGAACATATTAAATTTGTTTTCCGCCCACAAAGCCTAATATATTTCAGCAAATGTTGCTTTAAATGGATGTTGTAACATTATACTAACGTTGAAATTGCCTAATATGATGAAAAAAGAATTAAAAAAAGCAACCGATCCTCATAAGTTCCTTTCCTGAATACTCTAGAATACTCAAGGGTCCGCTGGGAAGCTTTTAGAATGTAGCAATACCATTTTACTGCATTTCATACCTACTGATTTCTAATTGTGAAGAACGCTCGCGAGCCCTGAAATAATATTATAGTTCACATAACTATGAAAATAAACACACTCCACCTCCTTACCGCATCAAGTAATATCTTGTTGTTATAATTAGTCAATTTAATAGTGATACGATCCCCTGTAATACACGTCTCAGCTAGTGGCAGACTGTTAAAGGTACGAGTTGTGATACTCGGGAAATTTAATTTGTTTTGTTTGATTGTAATTCTTGAATTAAAAAAAAAAAAATATATATATATATATATATCTTTTTTCGTTTTCTTGCATTCATTTCATCGTTCAAGTTCATTCCATGACTCGTATTTTGAATTTATAACACCAGTCAGCGAAAAACGTTCAATGGTATCACAGTATAGCAGCGAACTGTTTAAACCTGCGAGTTTCGATTATCCAGAAAAGTAGATTTCCACAGCTTTTCTGTCACGGATGTCGGATGAGTTACTCAAGGTGGTTCAAGCAGCATTCCTATCCTTGATTGGGGGGCAGAGTAGCAGGGCCACGCAACCCACAAGGTTAGAAAGAATCTCACCCCTCCTAGGCGTGAGCAAAGACCGTAAGGAAGGCCGCTCTGTAGATTTAGCTGGGCCATGGCCGAGCAGCACCATGTCGGCAAAGACTGCCGCGGCGTCAGCAATGATCGCAGAAAGCGAATTTCAAACACTCGTTCCTCACACAACAGATTTAAAAAATCTGTGCACCTTTCCAAAGTTTCAAATTCATAGCGCGGCGCGACAACACCGTAGACCAGGGACTCTAATTTGGACACTTGACGCAAACGTTGGCTAAGAATCTGACGGCAGCGATTGGCCGGCGTCGCGCTTGCACCTTGTGCTGTCTAACTGTGGCGATCGAATTCCTCGCCGAATTTTTGCCGAGAGTCCGTAGTAGAGCTAAAGACGCGCGTGTGCGTGGCATAGGAAAGCGAGCAAAGGACGCGCTAAACGCCCCAACACTGACGATGACGCCTTCCAAACGGTCTGATATCGTGGTTGTACACCTGGGGTTATGGTTTCGAGAAAATAAAGGCAGAGCTATGGGGACATCAACTGGCGTATTTCAGGTGGCGGTAATTATTTACGTGAATTCTTTACTTCTAAAATGCCACAGAAAGTTCTCCCCAGGTATGACAACTGGCCACCAGAGCGTGTCATTTAAGAAGGTCATGACCGACTTAATACGAGATTTGCAAACGTACAATAAAATTCACTTCTGTGCATCAAAGTGACTATAGAGTTTTCTTTTAATCGAGGTGTTTCGTCATCACGCACCACGCCCCCTCAAAAATCAGAGATAATGTATAGAAAGAGATAGCAAGTAACATCAAATGTATGATTTATTCCATAAAACGTCATACATAAGAAAACGTATTTATATAACATACTTTTCTGTTAACACGTGCTCGTGTTTAGACATTTCCTCGATGAAATTATTCAGTTTATAGTATACCCTTGATTTATTTACCCATTTCTTCGTCGTGTCTGTGTTTTTCTGTCGTTTTATTCGCAGATACTACTATACTCTCCTTTAGAAGTTGTCGTTGGAGTGGGTTTAGAGACCCAAAATAAAGAATCCAATAAATATACTTTAACTGTATCAAAACAAAATAGGCAATAATTATGCAAACTCTTTTATTTGGTGTACAGTTTTTGCAAAAAATTTAGAGCCCACCGCGCGCGCGGCCGGAGCGAGAATGTTTTTGTGCGGAGGCGCTGCAACCGTCGGCACTCGCTCGCTGCGAGGTTTTTATAGTGAGGCGGTACTTCTCTCTCGTGTTGCGCTCGCTTTGATAACACTGCGAGAGCGACTCAAAAGTGAAGTTCCCTCACACTCTCAAAAATCTCGCAGACAGCGAGTCCTGACGGTGGCAGTACAGCGACACGAAAAGGTTCTCGCTCCGGCTGAGCTCCCTGTGGGCTCTCAACTTTGCGCAATGGCTGTACGTAAGTCACATTGCGCGTGAGTCAAAACCAGGTAATGCACTTTCAGCAATAAAATGTCAGTTGTCAGTCAAATCACCGACAGTAGAACAAATGAAACAAACGGACTCACAGAACCCACTTATAATCACATATGAACGCTAGAAAATTGAACCAAACAGCAAACAAGTGGCGCATAATCAACCAGCAGATTCAGTGAAACCGGGGACTTTCCTTCATACTAGATTTACGGTACTAATAAACACACAGCAAATAAAGAACGGAAGATCATCAAGAAAAAGACTACAGTCAACAGAAGCGAGAGAATTCTAAGATTTCTTCACTAGAAAGAAACCTTAAGAATATTTTAACAGTGATACAAGCGATGCTTTAAAATTCGCGCAGATGTGACCTTCACTGTGTCAAAAACCAGTGTGCCTAAGTGTTTAGCGACTTAAAAAAAGCAATTATTATGAAAAACAGTATTTATGACATTCTATATTCCGCAAGTAAAAACTATGATAGCTTTTTGTACTTGTTGTTTGGGGAGTAGCGTAGTTTCATTCATCAATTTTAGAAATGTTTTAAGGTGGGCGTATAAAAAATGAGTGTATTAATTTTTATGTGCGTTTAGAGGTACTTAATAACAGTGCGTGTATGCAATCTGATCATAGAATCTAATAAATTGTTTTTGTTTTTGTACATACATCTGAGGGCTTTCTTTCGTATATTTTCGAGTTTATTTCTGTTTGTTTATTTTATTATTTATTTATTTCAGATATACTGTCGGCCCACTCTTGTGGGCCTAGCATTATTGCATGTACAGTTGCAGGGTAAACATTGTAAAAATATAGATTACAAAATTTCACAATTTTAATGATACAAAATATCGATTAATTCATGGCGGTTTACATATACACAAAATCATCTAAGTTTCTTGCGAAAGATATTATATAGCAAGACTTCCACACTTTGAGACAAGTCATTCCAATCAAGGATAATTTTAGAAAAAAAAACCTAAAAATGTATTTTTACATCAAAACTCACGAAGAAAATTCTCGTGCTTCCGCCTTGTGTTACGCCTGTCGTTGCATTTCAGCTCGTTGAAGAAATTTAACCCTGTCTTATTGTGTATTATATTACAAAAAAACTTCAATCCCTTGACTTTCTTTCGACTAGATAAGTATGGTGATAAGGATAATGCATTCAATGATGACATAATCATGTCCCTGTCGTATGCATATAAATGAATCGAACTGCCTTTCTCCGAACGCCTTCTAATTGATGAATGGATGTCAGAGAATGCGGGTCTCATAAAATATTTCCATATTCCAATAGTGGAAGAATAAAAAAAAATGTCAGCCACAAGCTTCGTTCTGCAGTACTGAGACAAAGTTTCTTCGAAAAAAACATACTTTGTTTTAGATTCTTGCAAAACACAACATGGAACAAAAATTAGAGTTTTAACTATTTTGGCGTTTACTTAAAGCTTAGTAAGCTAAATTATACGTATTTATACTTTTTCAACCTCTCGACAGGTGATTGGAGTACCGGACGAAGTGGCGGTTGAAAAGATATGTGTTTGGATCAAAGTGAAATCAGATAAAACCTTAACCCCAGAAGACATCAAGTCCTTTTGCAAGGCCAAGGAGGTATGTCCGTAGTTCACGCATCCTAAAAAGAAATGCAAACATACGTACATGTACTCCTTATGCAGACAATCGAGCATTGCCTCTAATTGCAGGAACACTTAATTGACTTACATTTGGAGGTTTCCATCCCAAAGCATTTACTGCCACTCCTCCGACATTCAAGGGAACGCCCTCTACAATGGTGCCTGGAGACAATTAGTTTCGCCAGGACCTGCATATCGCGAGTTATTTCAGATTCAGGTTCTTTCGCATAAAGGCACGTGCGAGCTTCCTGCCACAAGAAGCTGGGAGATTGTTAAAATTGTATAATTACTCGAGGACAGCAAAATTATGCATTCCCTTCTCGTGCCATCAAAACATGCAAAAATAGTAAAAAAACAATTATTTCGAGGTTTTCTTTTTGTTTCTCTAGTGTGCATGCAATTCAAACATATTTTGTAATTCCAGCTTCCCTGGTACAAGGTGCCCGAGTATGTGCTGTTCGTGGACTCTTTCCCGAGGACTCAGACCGGCAAAGTTCAGAAGCAGAAGATGCGCGAGGAGAGCAAACAACTCCTGAACTTGTGAAGAGCAATGAGCGTGGGATAATCATAAATAAATAAAGTGTTCAATATTTAAAAATGAATACAACTGCTATGAGACATTTGGTATGGATCAAGAAGAAGACAAGGGGGATGGGGGAATCGCGAGAGTGAGCGAACGAGCAGTCTTATAAACCATTTAACACAAGCCGGTTTTACTGTGATCCTTTCTTGACCTCAATGGCATCGACAAATACCAAGCGAAAAAGCGATTCAAAGCACAAGAAATATTTCGTGGCAAAACCCTGGCGCGTTGACTTGAGCAATCAGCTTAAGAATGGATCGGATCAAGACCAAGAGTCCGACGCAGTCAGCATACAAAGAAAATCAACGAGATAACGACCACGCTCCAGTCCGTCAACGTTAATGCAGCTACCCTCGAGAACTGGCGAGACAGACTGGTAACGAGCAATGAGAATTCCGTAAGATCAATTAGGAGATCGAACAACACATCAGCAATATTGGCCTCGAGACAGACTACATCACGTTCACAGTATATGAGGACGAATTGCCTCGGACCCTCACCGAAATGCGCAACAAGATAGCGCGGTTGCTGGCAATGCCAACCGCACTCGCTACGGGAGCCGGCGGCGACAGGGGACATCCATCCCAGGCTACGGGAGTGAAGCTCCCGAAACTGCAACTTCTACACTATGAAAGGAGCTCACGCAATGGCAACCCTTCTGGGAACAATTCGACGAATCAATACTTCGGAACACCAAGCTCTCTGATAGAGAAAATTTAAGTACCTGTGGTCAATCTGATTGGGCCAGGCGCTAGTGCCTTCTCCGGGCTGCAGGCTACAGCAGCTTGCTACAGAGATGCAAGTCAGATACTAACTGAACGATTTGGCGACAACCGAAACATTCAGCAGAAATATCAGGAACCGTTGTAGCCGCGGTGGACGAGGCAGGAGGCAGAGCGACTAGCGTGAAGTAACTTATTCGATTAGTGTAGCCGTACCAAGAACACAGAGCTTCGTGCTGCCAGCGCTTTTATAGCTGATAAGCAGTCGTCGCGATAGTGACGTCATAGCGCACTTAGCATGACACCATATTCCTTCTCCCTTATTTTCGTTACGCAATATTTATGGTTTGTACCAGTCCGGGGGCTTTTTAGCACGACTACTGCGCCGCAGAGCTTCTGGTTGTTGAAGTGATGCTGAGGCTCGATGCGGCGACTGTGATGCGGGGCTTGGTTGCTGGCTTGGATCCGGCTGATGCGGAGAAGCAGCTTCAGGTAGCCCCGGCTGCGGTGCTGCAGGGCTTGAAGACTCCAGCCCTAGCAGGGCAGGCCTCGTGGTAGTTTCCTCCGGCACAGGGTCTGCAATTGAACTTGGCACCGAACAAGAAGACACGCTAGGCAGTTTCGGCGCGTTCAAAAGAGCACAGCCGCAGATTGTCTGCATGCACAACCTGTGTCCTTGTCAAACATGAGTGATGTAAGTGGCAGCACTGCACCGCTCTTTGATGACTGCAGGCACCCACTTTGCCTTACCAGGATGAAGACCTTGTACCAGTACGCGCGTGTCTGCCCCGTTGTTGTAGATGTCTTGTCGAGAAGCTGGCGAAGAAGATCCCGTTTGACGGTCTGCACACACCTCTCGGCACTTCTATTCGAAGCAGGGTGGTACGGTGGGTTCCGAGTATGACGTACTTCGTTCTTCTGCAAAAATTCCGCGAAAATCGTTGCGGTAATGCGGGGACCGTTGTCCGTAACTACTTCTTCCTGGAGCCCGTATGACGCGAAAACGCTCCGCAGCTTTTCGATTGTCTTGTCTGCAGTTGTAGACTACATCACAAACACATCCACCCACTTAGAGTGTGCGTCAATAAGCAACAAAAACCACTGGTTGCCTGTAATTCAAAACCAATAAGCAACAAAACCAGATGAATTTGCTGCCATCTGCAAGTCGGCCAACCCCACGTCCGTAGTGGCACACTGGGTTAAGCATTTTGCGTCAACTGACAGGTGCTGTAGCTTTTAACGGCACTTTCAACGTCTTTCCGTTAGCTGAGGTCACCATACATAACTACGAGCGAGCATTTTCATGCGCGTCATGCCCGGGTGACCTTCTTGCAAAAGGTGCAGCAATGGCTTACGCAATATCTGAGGAATGATCACAAGATTACCCCAAGTGACACATTGCTGGTCTCCCGACAGTTCATGCCGTCTAACAAAGTAAACAGACAACTTGCTGTCCGTCACATACCCGGGCCAACCGTGCATCGTGTACATGAACACTTTTGAGTGAACACTGTCAGTGCATGTGCACTTCTGGACCTTGACAGCAGATAACGGCACTTCATCAACAACTGAAAAGAAGTGTACGTAATCCGAGACATCTTTCTCGTTGGCTAACGGCAACCGGGACAGTGCGTCAGCATTTCCAACCTCGCTGCCTTTGCGTCAAGTCCATCGGTAATCGTACGCCGCTAGCAGTAAAGCCCAGCGTTGCATGGGAGCAGCTGACGTCACTGGAATGGACTAGCCGTGACCCAAAAGACCAGCTAGTGGTCGGTGATCAGAATAGATGACAAAGTTGCGTCCAGACAGGTATTTGTGGAACGTCTTCAGACCAAATACGACGGCAAGAGCCTCATTTTCTATGGGAGCATAACCCTGCTGTGCTTTGCTCAATGCCCTGGACACGTAAGCGATTGGCTTTTCATTCTCTCCAATCTTATGAAAAAGAATGGCACCCACGCCATTAGTTGGCACATAACAAAAAGTCCAATCTCGTTCGTTGGATCGTAGTACGTTAAGACAGTTTCCTGCGTGAGCCAGGTTTACTTTGCTGGAATGCTTCCTCTGCCACACGTGACCACTGAAACCCTTATTCTTGATTCAGCACATTGTAAAGAGGCTTAAACCTGCCAGCCATGTTAGGAACGAACTTTCCATAAAAGTTAATCAATCCAAGGTAGGCTCGCAATTGTGCTTCGTTCTTCTGTGAAGGTGCCTCTTTTATCGCTTTCTCTTTTCTGCCTGACGGTCTTAGGCATTTCTCGTCAGGAATCTGCCCAAATAAGGGACAGACCTTTTAAAAGTTTCTGGACAAGTTTCTGGGAGCACTGTTGAAAAGACCAGCATAAACCTTGACCCAAGCAGCACAGATTTCGCCAATCCTCGGCCAATGGCTGGTAATGGTCCTTGGCCAAGTAACCACACAGTGGCCAGAGACAGGCCGGTAACTGGCCTTTATCTGGACATTGGCGATTGCCACTGGCAATCAGCCATCGGCCAAGCATTGGCCAATGAGTGGCCACTCTCTGGCCACAAGCCAAAAGACCATCGCCAGGCATTAGCCATTGCTTGGCCGAAATCCGTGCTGCTTGGGGAGACGAGTGGGTTAGTCGAAGATCGAGAAATCGGAGGCCCTCCTGAGTAGGGTGTTCCCTTTTGAAAGTGAGGCCGTTGGCCTTAGTTTTCAAAGCTTGAAGGATGGGAGCATCTGAGTTGGATTGGGGATTGGGTTTGGGGTTTTATGGCGCAAGGGCTGCTGAGGCCAAAGAGCGCCAAAGAAGGAAACTATTGCATTGAGGGTAAGTGAGAAGAAAGGACTCTAGTGGTCAGGGTTAAAAATAAAGGAATGAGACATAAAACTGAATTAAATCACAAACAGCAATGGGCATGAGTGAGAAACTGAAATTCACAATTGATGTAGAAGACCAATAGAATCTAAAAACTTAAAAACCTGCTTGTAAGCCACGAATGGTTCATCAGCCAACAACAACATTGGGTGTAAGGGAGTGTGATTTCTGTACAACTGTGCAAAGTGAGATTGGCGTTCCCGTTCGTAGAAAGGGCACTCAATTGAAAAATGGAGAACACTTAGAGGTTTATCGCATTGTTCACACGAAGGGGCATCCTCCCCACGGAGCAAGTAGCCATGAGTCAGATGCGTGTGGCCAATGCGCAATCGACACAGTATTACTTCATAAAACCGTTCTCGGTGTCGGGCACTTGCCCATTCACCCAGGTTTGGCTTAATGAGATGCAGCTTATTGTAGATCTCTTCATTCCACTCGGCTTGCCATTGGGCTTGTATGCGAGACCTTACAGAAGAGCGGTAGTCTACGTAAGGGATTCCTTTTATGTCTACCTCCCTACTGACGCATGTGCGAGCAGCACGGTCGGCCGCCTCATTGCCTGGGATACCAACATGGCTGGGAATCCAGCAAAAGACAATGGTGCAATGCTTTCTAGCTGCCACAATAACTTTCTTCTGAACTTCAACAACAAGGGCGTTCCTTGTAGGCAGCAGAGAAGAGATGGCTCGCAAGGCACTGAGAGAGTCCGTGAAAACTACTGCCAGCGGTATCCTGTGGCGGGCTATGTGTTCCGTAGCCAGCAGGAGGCCATACAGCTCCGCTGTCAAAATGGTAGCGGCAGTGTTTATCCGCCTTACAACTTCCACTGAAGAGCCAATGACAGAGCAGCCAACAAAGGTCTCAGATTTTGTTCCATCTGTATAGAACTTTGTATGATCTTCATACGATTGAGCCAGTTCATAAAATTCTTGCAGAAGCACAGCACTTGGAGTGTTTTTCTTGTTATACTGTGCAAGAGACAGGTTGCAGTGTATGTCAGGCTATGATGCCCAAGGTGCTATGATGCCAGGAAATTCTACTACCTGGGATGCCACATCAAATCCGACAGACTCGGCCAAGGTCTTCAGTCGCATGCTGAACGGAGGGATCACGCTAGGTTTTGCAAGAAACAGTCGTTCCGAGCGTGTTTCTTGAACAACTTCTCGAGTAGGGTGCTGGAGTACAGATCGGATGCGAAAAGAGTACATCATGCCCAATGCGAATCTACGTCTCCCGAGGCAGCACTCGTTAGCCTCTGCATATAGACTGGGCACAGGGGATGTACGAAACGCACCTGTAGCCAACCGAAGCCCAAGATGATGAATGGGATCCAACATCTTGAGAACAGACTGTCTGGCAGACCCATAAACAAAGCAGCCATAGTCTAGTCGGGAGCGTACCAAACAGGGATAGATCCGCAGGAGGCAGAATCGATCTGAGCGCCAAGACCGGTGCGAGAGAACTTTAAGGATATTGAGAGATTTGTGAGTTCTCAATTTCAGGCTTTTTACATGAGCAACAAATTCAGTTTACTATCAAACGTAAGACCCAAAAA